CTTATGATTATGCCCTTACTTGGCCACTAGAGTTTCTGCATTCCAGGGTCTTGCCAGAGACTTTAATTTTGAGTGCTCCACTGTCCAATTCTTGTCAAAAGGTTGGTTATGAGAAATAATTTTCATGGAGGATTGCCTGAAGGTTATGCAGTCCTTTCATTCCTCATTTAGATAGCCTAGATATTATTCATGGTTTAAGTCAAGTCATTGGATCTCAATGTAATAGCTTCTTGTCAGTTTCCCTTTACTTGGCAGGATTAGTGAAAAAAGACACATCTATCCTTATGGAATTTTTGTACTCTGTGTTAAAAGAGGAAACTCTCAAATTAAGAACACAGTTCCATGTACAGTTGCACCAAAAATAATAAAATACTTAGGCATAAACTTAACCAAAGAGGTAAAGGACCTGTATTCCAAAAACTATAAAACACTGATGAAAGAAATTGAAGATGACACAAACAAATGGAAACCTATTCCATGCTCGTGGCTTGGAGGAATCAATATTGTTAAAATGTCCATACTACCCAAGCCATCTACAGATTTAATGCAGTCCCTATCAAAATACCAACAACGTTTTTCACAAAACTAGAGCAGATCCTAAAATTTAGATGGAACTGCAAAAGACCCCGAATAGCCAAAGCATTCTTCAGAAAGAAGAACATAGCTGGAGGTATCACAATCCCAGATTTCAAGATCTACAAAGCTGTAGTAATCCAAACAGTATGGTATTGGCACAAAAATAGACACATAGATCAATGGAACAGAGTAGAGAGCCTAGAAATAAACCTTCACTTATATGGTCAATTGATCTACACCAAAGGAGACAAGAACATGCAATGGGGAAAAGACAGTTTATTCAACAAACGGTGCTGGGAAAACTGGACAGCTACATGCAAAAGAATGAAATTGGACCACTTCCTTACACCATACACACACAAAAAAACCCTCAAAATTGGCTAAAGACCTAAATGGGAGACCCAAAACCATAAAACTCCTAGAAGAAAATACAGGTAGTAATTTCTTGGATGTCTCCCAGAGAAACATTTTTTCTAGATATGTCTCTTGGGAAACAAAAGAAAAACTAAACCATTGGGACTACACCAGAGTAAAAAGCTTTTGCACAGCAAGGGAAACCATCAACAAAACAAAAAGGCAACCTGCTGAATGGGAGAAGATATTTGCAAATGATATGTCCAGTAAAAGGTTAATATCCAAAATATATAAAGCACTTACACAGCTTAACACACATAAAACCCAAATAATCCAATTTAAAAATGGCAGAGCACCTGAATAGACATTTCTCCAAAGAAGACATACAGATGGCCAACAGACACAACAGAAAAGATGTTCAACACTCTTCATCAGGAAAATGCAAATCAAAACCACAATGAAGTATCAGCCCACACCTGTCTGAATGGCTAGAATCCAAAACACAAGAAATAACAAATGTTGACAAAGATGTGGAGAAAAAGGAACCCTCGTGCACTTTGGTGGGAATGCAAGCTGGTGCAGCCACTGTGGAAAAGAGTATGGAGTTTCCTCAAAAAATTAAAAATAGAATTACCATATGATTCAGTAATCCCCCTATTGGATATTTACCCAAAGAAAACAACAATAATTTGAAAATATATATGCACCCCTTTGTCTATTGCAGCATTATTTATAATAGCCAAGATATGGGATCAACCCAGGTATCCACTGATAAACTAGTGAATCAAGAAGAGGTGGTGTATTTTTACAATGGATTATTACTCAGCCATAAAAATTGATGAGATCCTGCCATCTGCAACAACACGGATGGACCTAGAGGGTATAATACTAAGTGAAATACATCAGACAGAGAGAGACAAATGCCATGTGATTCCATTCATATGTGGAATTTAAGACACAAAACAAATGAACAAACAAAAAGACAGACAAAAAAATAGACAAATACAGAGAACAAACTGGTGGTTACCAGAAGGGAGGTGGGTGGGAGGATGGGGGAAATAGATAACGGGGATTAAAAGTATACTTACCTTGGTGAGCACTGAGAAATATGAATTGCTGAGTCATTATATTGAAAACCTGAAACTATTATAACAAACACTGTGTGTTAATTCTACTTCCATTAACAAGAGAGAGAGAGAAAACTCTCATAGGTTTCTAGACAGAGAAAACCAGTAAGTTACCAAGGGCAGGGGCATCAGACTAGCATGAAACTACTCACCTGTAAGCTGGAAGCAAGAACACAGCAATGCCGTATTTATAGAAAGTTGAAGGAAAAGGACTGAGCTAAGAATCCTGATAATTATATACTGATATACTGATAAATCATTGTGTTATAAATAAAGATATATTTATTTATGTGTGATAAATAAAGATATACATGAGCTAAGAAGCCAAGAAATTTAGTCCTATATGAGGCCAAAACAAAGACATTTTTGGATATGGAGTGACTGAAGTGGGCCGTCGATGAGCCATTGCTGAGGAAATGTGTTCCAACCAAATGAAATTGAGTCAGAAAAAAGTGTCATGGTAGGGGAAGATGAAGAGTCAAAGAAACAATGATGAGCAAGGAACCTTGTAATGATCAAGTCTAAAGAAATGATGAGGATGTGACTACAAACTATAAACTTTTCACTGAGGATTTCTTCAAACAGAAGAGCCGTGTGGATTAAGAGGAGGTATTTAGTAGTTCAAAGTGAAACAGTGAGAAAGTACAAAAATTCTAAAATACCTCCTGTGGATGAGGAAGAGAGAAGAGATGTCATGGGTTGGTTTCTCTGGAAACAGGCAACGAAACAGAGTTTTGGGTGCAAGATACTTCGTAGAGGTCCACACCTGTGTTAGGAGTTGAATTGTGTCCTGCACAAAAATATGTTGGAAGTCCTAACCCCTGGTACCTGCGAATGTGACCTTATTTGGAAATGGAGCCTTTGCCAATTGGTCACCAAGTTAACATGAGGTCATGAGGTTGGGCCCTCATGCAATGTGACTGGTGTCCTGATAAGAAGAGGAAAACACTGTGTGAAGACACACACACGGGGAGAACCCTGACGACAGGACCCATGCAGCCGCAAGCCAAGGAACCACGAGGCTCAATGGCCAGAAGCAGGAAGAGGCAGGGAAGGATTTTACCCAGAGCCTCAGGGGGAGCTTGGCCCTGCTGACACCTTCACTTAGGGCTTCCAGGTTCCAGAACCGTGAGAGAATACATTTCTGCCATGTTGAGGCACATCTGTGGAGATGAAGAGAACCTTTGCAACGAGGAGGGAGGGAGCACAGCTGGGCAAGCAGAGGGAGAAGCCAGGCTCCCGTGCAGGACCCGTGAAGCCGGCCCAACTTGGTGGGCAGCTGCCCCATCATTCAGTCACGGGATGTGGGCAACCCCAGGGAGGCCATCGCCCGAGTGAGGTGGCTCTCTGCAGAGGCAGACCCTGATGGAGCTGATAGGAAAGCATAGATTTTCTTAATGATTTAAAAATAGAATGATAACTAAGCAGATATACATGGAATAAAATGTTTTTGTTACTGGGAGGAAAAAATGGAATTATGATTTGGTTAATCCAGCAAAGAAGAAATGGGTAAAAGTAAATGTAACAATAAATTGTAGTTACTAGTAAACAAATATGATGGAAGCAAACCAAATATAATCATACGTCAATAGGGGCGCCTGGGTGGCTCAGTCGGTGAATTGTCTGCCTTCAGCTCAGGTCATGATATCAGGGTCCTGGGATCGAGCCCCACATAGGGCTCCCTGCTCAGCGGGGAAACTGCTTCTCCCTCTCCCTCTGCCCCTGTCCTTGCTCATGTGCTCTCCCTCTCACTCTCTCTCTCTCTAAAATAAATAAAATCTAATCATAACACAATAGATGTGAATTTGTTTAAATCCACTTTCGAATGACAGACTTTTAAATTGGCAAAAACAAAACAAAAGCCCGGTTTTAAGTTATTTGTAAGGAACAGAGATAAAACAAAATGACAACTAAAAAAGTTAAAGAAATGGACAAGGATAATAAGCATTATTTGCATATGCCAAGTATATGCAAATAAAAGGAAAACAGAAGTGGTGTACATCAACCACAGTGGAACCCAAAAGTAAAATTATTCAATAAGAAAAGAAAAGGTACTTCTAAAAACAAAGAGTACATTTCACAAGGACACTGTTACACATACATTATACACTGGCCATCACTGTTATGGAAATTTTAAGGCAAAAACCAAAAAGAAACACAGGAGAATATGATAGAACTATAATCATACTATCATAACCCAAGCAGGAATAAACACCCTTATCCAAACATCTTTAAAGTTCTGGTACTTGTATTTCTCTGGGAAAGAATCTTAGAAGTTGGGCCAAACTTGGTAAGTACATTAACTATTTGAAGGACCATTGCTACATTCCTTTCTATAAAAAGGTTGAAGCATCAATCCAATGGTGCAGGAAGCCTACCTGTTTATTGACATACGTATCAGCACTGGATGTCTACCATCTTTGAGATGTTTGCCAACCTGATGGGCAGATAATAGCATCTCAGTCATTTTAATTCCTGTTCCCTTACCACTAATGGGGCTTATCCTTTTCACAGGCTTATTGGTGATATATATTTCCAGTTCATATCCTCTGCTTATTTTTATAGTGTGTGGTTTGTCTTGTTTCTTTTATAATCAATTTGTATCATCTCCCAGTATATTAGACACTAATCCTGTCATATGAGCTGCAAACCATTGTTCATTTTTTTGGCTTTGTTTATGGTATCTTGTCATGTAGACATTTTAAATTTTTATAGGGTCATATCTGCTCATTGTTCCTTTATGGGTTATGGATTTACTGTCTTACTTGGTAAGGCAACCAACCTGAAATTACACGCTTCTAGTTCCATTTTTAACATTAGGTCCTTCCTTTATTTTGGTTTAAACTGACTGCATTGTATTATCCCTATAGGTAGCTCTGATCTTTTTTGGGAGCTGAGGTAGAGATGTGAATAAATAATAACCAGTGATTTCTATTTTAACAGGAACTTGGGAAGGAAAACAGTTTCAACAATGAATAGGTCACCCATCATGACTGACTACAGATGACTTGCCATTTCATTTACAAAGGTAAGGAAATACAGTCTATGTTTTTAGTTAATTCCAACTGACTGACTGTTGTGCTCTACCCCTTTTATTTTATATTTATTTACAAATATTCTAAATCCTATTCTAGTTCATGACCTTTAACTTTGACATTATCAAATTTAAAACAAGTGACAAGCAAATAGAAACATAGGAAATTCTGTGAATGTCAGCCTGCCTCAGGGGGCAGAACAGAACCCGGGAGATGTGGTTTCTGCTATTGATTACTGCATGCGGTTCAGTTTTTGAATAGCATTAGGGTTTTCGTTATTATCAAATGTAGAGTGTTCATTGCAGAATCCTTGGAGAATAGAGCAAAATATAAAAATGAAAACCCAAAGCATTCATAACCCCCATCATCTGCAGATAATCACCAGTAGTTCTGTGAATTTCTTTCCTCCTTCCTTGCATACGCATAAATAAATGTATAATTATATATAATCTTTCTAAAACATACTTAGCTCCAGTAGTTCTAAATGATGTACCTTAACTGGTACAGGAACATAGCAAGTCTAAGAACAAATAGTAATTACCACTATGTCCATTTCAAATGGCCATTTGCAGTTCACTAGAACATTCCCCAGCATCTCATTTGCCTCCCCTGCACAGACATCCTGGTGATAGGTCCACATGACCCTGGTGAAACATCACCCTAAGAAACACCTTAGAAGTCTGGCAACATTTCACGGCATCCCTTTATCATTATTGTCTATTTTGTGCTGCTTAAAGGGAATTGTTTTTTAAAGAATAGAAGTTTATGTATTTCTCTCCTCCTCTTCCTTACTGTCCGTTCAGGGGTGTCCTACAAAGTAAAAAAAAAAAGAGAGAGAGAGAGAGACCATCTCATCCTATGTCCTGCATTCATGCCAGCTAGCCAACCCCTCACTAAGGTGGTTTCTCCAAACACCCTTCAAAGTTGCTTTTGAAATTTTTTGGATTTCAAAGCTTCCAAGTCTTAGAGGTAAAATGACTGACACGGGATTTGTTAGTCCACAGTTGGTTAAAGAAAATCCAACTCTTACTGTCATTAACACATACAAAGTTGGAGACACAAACGTACCCTAGTAGAGATATGGGCTAGAGCTTCATACAGATAATTCACCAAAGAGATACAAAGAACCAAAGAAATGTGACAAAGATGTCTGTCCTTACCATGAATCATACAAATGCAAAATAAAATGATATTTTTGCCCAGAATTGGCCAAGTGTTTTTTTGTGATTTTAAGTGAAAACACTGGCGGCTGGTAGAGATTTAAAGTAGGTATATTTTACCCAGTAGACATTATAAGAATCTCTGGCAACTGTTTTAGACTTGCCTTTGGAAACATAAGAACAGAGAGTACAGTTTTATTTGTAACAGAAAAATAGGAAGCATCCTGAGTGTCCACTAATAAATCCCGAACCAGGGCGCCTGGGTGGCTCAGTTGGTTAAGCGACTGCCTTCGGCTCAGGTCATGATCCTGGAGTCCCGGGATTGAGTCCCGCATCGGGCTCCCTGCTTGGCGGGGAGTCTGCTTCTCCCTCTGATCCTCTCCCCTCTCGTGCTCTCTGTCTCTCATTCTCTCTCTCAAATAAATAAATAAAATCTTTAAAAAAAATAAAAATAAAAAATAAAAAATAAATCCCGAACCATGATGCATTTTTATGATAGAATTATTTAGATGTTAGACATTTTTTCTAATTAATATTTAGTGATGCAGAAAAATGTTTGTGACAAAGTGGAAAGGGCAAATATAAGTTTGTATATAATGTATGATCCCAGTTTTGTTAAAGTAAACAAAGCACACATTTGAAAAAGATCAAATGGTAGAATAGCCAAATATTAACAATTACTATTTGGGGGTAGTTGGATTAAAGGTGATAGTTTTATTTTCTTCTTTTTCTTTCAAATACAATATCTGTTTTACTTAGGGAAAAGTTTTCAATTAGCAATAATCGCGCCTCGGATAAACCTTATTGGCCACGGAAGAAAACAGATATTTTTTTAATTTAAAAATTACTTTTAAATTTTAAAACGACCGAAAAATAATGAACGGTTATACATTTGATTAAAAAAATCAAGGAACCTTCCTCATGTATTGTGAAACTTTCATTCCAAAGTAGTTTGCAGAGAGTTTTGAGAGCTGGTTATGTCAGGAAAAGGAAAACGTGGCATATTCCGTAGTATTTTACATTTAAAAAAAAAAAAGGTTTAAATGCTACATGGAGATGATTTCTATTGAAACATGTATAGTCTAAGTCTTTTTCACTGATGAAGGAAGTTATAAGGAGTTAATGACATGGCCATTTATTCCATGCCAGCTGTCTACAGTTGCCGCGCCTTTGGCATCTTCCAAAGAATCCAGCATACGGTGTGATTGATGGGGTTGGACCCCTAAGTTATGTCTTTATCCCCATCCTTCAGGGAGTCAGCTTTCTTCCCAAGCACAAAACACCCAAGTAGCTAGAATCAGACGCTGCCTGCATTGATCTAATGGGGTGTTACTACCTTTCTTTATCAATTTATTTATCCATTCATTCTACAAATATTTACTCAGCACTTACTATGTGCCAGGTGTAGTTTAAGTGTTTGAGGTATATCAGTGAACAAAACAGACTAAAATCCCTGCCTCTGTGGAGTTTAAATTCTTCAGGAGGAGACAGACTGAAACAAACACAAACCCACTGTAATAAATAAGGAAACTCTGTAGTGTGTTAGACACTGATGAGTGCTATGGGCAAAAAAGGAAGGAAGGGAAGGAGGGAGGGAGGAGGGAAGGAAGGAAGATTAAGCAGAGTTAAGAGGAAATGGGGGCAGGGAGGTGCCAAAGAGGTTGTAGTTTAAAATAGGATTGTCAAGCTAAGCATCAGATAGAAGTTGACATTTGAACAAAGACCTGAAGGAGATAAGCAGGTGTCTGGGGAAGATTGTTCAGGCAGTGGGAATAGCTCAAGCAAAATGCCTTAATGTAGCTGCATTCTGGAGTGTTTGAGAAACAGCAGAGTATCTGAAGCGGCGGGGGGAGCTCAGAGGTGCTGAGGACAGAGGAGGAATGGGAAGAGTATGGGGAAATCATACAGGGCCACGTCAACCATTGTAAGACTTTGGCTTTTACTTTGGGTGAAAAGGGAAACCACTGTAGGGTCTTAAGGGCAAAGTGACATGATCTGATTAGGTTTAATGACAGATCACTCTGGCTGAGAGTAGACTGTCGGAGAGCAAGGGTGGCATCAGCAAGTCCCGTTGAGAGGCCACGAAGGATAACACACTCATAAGAAGATGGTAGCTCTGCCCAGAAACGCACAGCAGGAGTGGTGACAAGTGACTGGATTCTGGACATCTTCCGAAGGCTGTGCTGACATATTGACCATGGTGTGAGAGAAGGAGGACTCCCAAGATTTGGGGCCTGAGAAGCAAGAGGTTGGAGATGCCATTAAGTGAGATGGGGAAGGTCCAAGTGAAAGAAGTTTGAGAGGGAATGTCAGAAATAGGGTTTTAGGTTTGCAAAATTTGAGGTGTCTATTAGATATCCAAGTGGAGATACCAAGAAGACCATTGGATGTGCAAGTCTGGAGCTCAGAAGAGAGATCTAGATGGCATTTCAAGATTCCAAAGAGAGGATGGTTAGAGACGAGAACCAAGAAGTCCGTCTTACACACTCTTAACATTAACAGGAACCATCTTAAGAGACTGAGAAAGTGACCCAGGAGGTATAGGGAGGGTGTGGGTAAGAAACAAGAGAGTATGATGCTCTAGAAGCCAAGTGAAGAAAATCAGTCAAGGAAGAGGGAGTGATCATCTCTGTTGATAATCTGATAGGTCAGGCAGAATGGGGGTTTAGAGTTAGCCACTGGATTTGGCAACACGGAGGTCATTGGTGATTTTGAGGAGGAGGTTCTCAGGGTAGCAGTGAGAGCAAACCCCCGATTAAAGTGCATTAAAGAGAGAATGTCTGAAGAGGAATCAGGACTCGAGAGGAGCAACATCTTTTTCAAGGAGTTTTGCTGCAAGGAGGAATAAGGAACTGAGGGGACGTTGGAATCAAGAAAAGGCTTTTAGTTTTTAAGGTGGAAGAAATGGCGGAACCCTGATGGGAAGGAAATAGAGTGAAAGATTGAAGCTGATACGAGAAAGGGGAGACCTGTAGGAGTGATGCCCTTGAATATGTGACAGGCTCTGCACAATTTAGATAAGCTTTCACGCTTTAGAATTATTAACTTCTGTCACATTCAGTGCCCGTATTTCCACCTTGTCACTTGCCCTTTAATTTGTTCATGATCTATTTTGACATTGAGAAGTTGACATTGACATTGAGACATAGTCAAATCAATTACATTTTCTCTCCTATAACTTTTCGGGTTATCAAAATCTTTGCCTTTTCAAGGATCGATTATCAGATAAATACCTATATATTCTTTTTTTAAGATTATTTGAGAGAGAGAGAGCAGGGAGAGGGGCAGAGGGAGAGGGAGAGACTTCTCAAGTTGACTCCATGCCAAGCGCAGAACCTGACACAGGGCTCAATCCCGGGACCCCAAGATTATGACCTGAGCCAAAATGAAGAGTCAAATACTTAACCGACTGAGCCACCCAGGTGGCCCAAATACCTATATATTCTTAAAGTAATGATGTAATTGGAACTTTTGCAGGGGGCACGATCAGGGCTTTGGTTTGGTGTTTTTACACTGAGCCTATTATCATTAGACCTTTCAGATTTTATAACTCCACTAATAGAGTATTCACACCTCACCAAAATATTATGAAGAAACTAGAAAATCAGTTATTTTTAAAACGTATTAAGCAGATACAGTGTGGGAAACTGTAGCATGTGAAATAGACAGATTATAATCCAGTTAGTTATATGGACGCAAATGGGAATGTTAATTTATCTAAGAGAATGCTTGGATGGGCAGGGAGTAATAGGTCTGGTGAGGTTGCCATGATCCAGTCTTTAATTCTCTTCGATGGATTTTAGTCCTGTCAAGCTCATGGCAATCATTCAGTTCCAGTACAGAGAAACGGCTGGCAAATTCTTTATTTTTTTTTTAAGATTTTATTTATTTAATTGACAGAGAGACACAGCGAGAGCAGGAACACAAGCAGGGGGAGTGGGAGAGGGAGAAGCAGGCTCCCCGCTGAGCAGGGAGCCCAATGTGGGACTCTATCCCAGGACCCTGGGATCATGACCTGAGCTGAAGGCAGACACTTAACCGACTGAGCCCCCCAGGCTTCCCCCCCCCTTTTTTTTTTAGAGATAGAGCACAGTGGGGGAGGGGTAGAGGAAGAGGGAGAGAGAGAATCTTAAGCAGACTCCACGCCCAGCTCCAAGCCCAACACCACGCTCGATCTCACAACCCTGAAATCATGACCTGAGACAAAATCAAGAGTCAGATGCTTAACCAACTGAGACATCCAGGCACCCCAAAACAGCTAGCAAATTCTTAGGTTTAACACACACTATATTTATTAAAAGCCCAAGATTTAAAAGGTGCTTCAACAACCCCAGTGTTCATCAGTAGATGAATGGATAAAGGGGATGTGATGTGTACACACACACACACACACACACACACACACACACACACTGAACAATTACCCAGCTGTAAGAAAGGATGAGCATGTGACAGCATGGATGGACCTAGAGGGCATTATGCAAAGTGAAATAAGTCAGACAGAGAAAGACAAACGCCCGATGATTTCACCTATATGGGGAATCTAAAAAACAGATGAACAGGGGCGCCTGGGTGGCTCAGTCGTTAAGCATCTGCCTTCGGCTCAGGTCACGATCCCAGGGTCCTGGGATCAAGCCCCGCATCGGGCTCCCTGCTCCGCGGGAAGCCTGCTCCTCCCTCTCCCACTCCCCCTGCTTGTGTTCCGTCTCTCACTGTGTCTCTCTCTGTCAAATAAGTAAAATATTTAAAAAATAAAAATAAAAGACAGATGAACAAACAAACAAAAGCAGAAGCCGACCCATGAATACCGAGAACAAACTGCTGGTTGCCAGAGGGGAAGGGTTGAGGGGTGGGTAAAACAGGTAGAGGGGAGAGTGAGACACCAGCTTCCAGTTACGGAAGAAGTCACGGTATAAAAGGCACAGCACAGGGAATATGGTCAGTGGTACTGTGACAGTGTTATGTGGTGACAGATGGTAGTTGCACTTACGGTGAGCAGAGCGTAACAGATAGACTGGTCAGATCACCATGTTGTACGCCTGAAACTAATACAACATTGTGTCAGTTATACTTCAATTAAAAATTCTCTTATTAAAAAAAATGAGACAAAATAACATGTGCTTCAACGGCTTACAAGAAAGTCTGAGGTTACCCCTCCTTGGTGTATTGAATGAACTTCATGCAACAAGTTAGAGGTTGAGCCTCTAACTCTAGGTTTCCGCTCAGGTAACGATCTCGGGGTAATGGGATCACACCCCATGTGGGGCTCTGCACAGAGTCTGCTTGAGATTCTCCCTTTCCCTACGCCCCCTGTGCTTGCGCTCTCTTTCTCTCTCTCTCTCTAAAATAAATAAATCTTAAAAAAAAAAAAAAAAGATAAGACCCTTAAGTGTCATGGTTCCCTGATTATGTAGTTATCTTTATTTGCCATATAAGTAGCTGGCTTTAAAAATTCAGGTGAATTGGGCGCCTGGGTGGCTCAGTTGGTTGGGCGACTGCCTTCGGCTCAGGTCATGATCCTGGAGTCCCGGGATCGAGTCCCGCATCAGGCTCCCTGCTCGGCAGGGAGTCTGCTTCTCCCTCTGACCCTCCTCCCTCTCATGCTCTCTGTCTCTCATTCTCTCTGTCTCAAATAAATAAATAAAATCTTTAAAAAAAAAAAATTCAGGTGAATTAATAGTTAAACGCAAAACTCTAGCATTAAGAAGTGAAAGGAACATGTTTAAGTATCTGATACATCCCAGTGTAAAAAAAATATTTGCTCTAAAACATTGGAAGAAATCACAAAGGTAATCAGTAGTGTTGAGTGTGAAAAATGTAGAACTTCTCTGTGTCCTAATTATAAAATGGAAGAGCAGCATGGAAAACATGAATAATGTGCTTGCAGACTGATTAATTACCTGGATACATAAAAATCAATAAGAAAAACATGAGTAACAATAACCATAGTAGGTAAAAATCAATAACTAAAATACAAAGAGCCCCGTAGATAAATGGAAACAATAACAGAAAACTCAGAAGAAACACAGAGAGCTCAAAAAAGATCTGCCAACCATGTTAACCATCACTAATAATTTTCAGAAGTGCACATTAATATCAAGAGATGCTTTCTTTCACCTATGAAATTAGCAAAGATTATTAAAATAATACTGCTAAGCATGTAATGAAAGAAGCTGCCACCCACTGATAATAGTATGAGTGGGTATATTCATGGAAAGAAATTTACTCATATGTTTTTAATGACCTTGTAATTCTAGGAATCTAAGAAAACATTGAAATTGGACAAAAATAGAAGCACAAAATAATTACTGTTGTATCATTCATAGAAGCAAATCTCTTGGACCACCTCCCCATCCTTTAATATTAGCGTTATTTTTTTTATTTAAGTTCAATTAGCCAACATAGTGTAGTGTTCAGTAATAACATTAGCATTATTAACTGACATATTAACACACAGTTGTGTTCATACAACAGTGTCTCTTGCAAGTAGAAAAAAATCAATATTCTTACAATGAGATGTTGATAATCAAGTGGGAAAATGTTCACTGAAAACTGCTGGGTCGAGATGGTATCCTAATATTTTTAGTATAATAGTACATGGAACAAAAGGGGAAAATAACTATGCCCAAATGTGAAGAGTGGAGTTACCCGAGGGCAGTAGAATTGAGTACTTTTCTTGTTATGATTTATATTTTTTGGTACTTTCCAAATGCTTTTATAGGAAGTATCTTTAATTAGAAGAAAGTTTTGTTGTTTTTTTTTTTTTTAAGACGTTATCGAAAGAAACTTGTACCCATGATCTGCACTGGGACTTCAATCCCACCTTTGGGAGAGCACACGGGAGCCAATAAAGTGTACTACCAAAATGATTTAGAGGTAAAGATTTATTTCGGAGAGATTGAGGGACACAGATTTTTTTTTTTTTTTTTTTTACATTCTGAGAAATCTCTTCCTTTCGTGGAAACAGCAGTAATAACCACAAAAACGTAATGAACCAAACTCGATTCTCCAGTTAACAATATCATTAGTCTGTGGTGTTTCAGAGCAGAGTCATAAATTCACAGCGGTCCATTTTGCGCTTGCAGATGTCGTCTGCTGCTGAAAATGGAGATGCCGCACCTGGAAAACAGAGTGAAGAAAAAACTTATAAAAAGGTGAGTGACTGTTTTGTTTTCTTTCTTCAGCTCAGAAAAAGGAACACTTTCATTGCTTGGAATGTTAATCTCGCCTCGGCCTTTTCTCCCTATAAAGCAGTTGTGGGTAAGTTACTGCCTTAGCTTCTTGTTGCTCTCACAAATTACTACATGTTCAGTGGTTCCGACGACACAGATGTATGATCCTGTAGTCACAAGGCTGACATGGGTCTCCTTGCGCCGGGATCTGGGTGTCTACAGGGCTGCATTCCTTCCTGGAGGTTCTAGGAGAGAGTCCGTTTCCTTGTCTTTTCTAGCTTCTCCAGACTGCCTTCCCTGTCTCATGATTCCCTTCCAACTTCAAACCAGCAAACACCAGCTGAATCTCTCTCAGGCTATATCACTCTTGACACTTTCAAGAATGCTTGGGATGGCTTGGAGCCCTCCTAGATAATCCAGAATAATCCCTTGATTTTAAAATCAGCTGGTTAGCAACCTTAATTTCTTTTGCAACCTTAACTACTCCTCGACATATAACATATTCGTGGGTTGCAATGATTAAGAGATGGACATCTTTGCAGGGGTGAGTGGGTGGGGAGCATCTTTCCACCTACCGCAATTACCATGCTATAGAACATTGACAGAAGGCAGTTATTTGAAGACCCTTCTTATTCCTAAGAAGAAAGCCCTTATGTGTGTGCAGTGTTCTGTGTCTACTATGTGAATCTTTTTTTTTTTAAGATTTTACTTATTTGAGAGAGAGAGAGCATGAGTAGGGGGAGGGGCAGAGAGAGAGGGACAAGCAGACTCCCCGCTGAGCAGGGAGCCTGACCTGGGTCTCCATCCCAGGACCCCGAGATCATGACCTGAGCTGAAGGCAGACGCTTAACCAACTGAGCCACCCAGGCACCCCGCCCCCCCCATATGTGAATCTTTTAACTGACTTGCCACTTCCCACCAAAATTTTACACAATTTTTACCTTTGTATTTTGAAAAAAAAAAAAAGGAACATGAAATTCTGCCCCATCCCTTTCTAAGCCTCTCAGATTCCCTGTCTTCAGCCCATTTCACAAAAATCCCCTTCCAGATGTTCCAGGGTATCTTACCTTGCCACTCTTTGACTTTGATAAATCCTTCGCTCCTGGCAAGGAAGCTAATGTTCAGACACATTACTGGGGAGTATATCTTCTCAGGCACCACTGCTCCTGCTTCTAAATTGACTGTACATTTTACTTCTAAAAGTCCTTGCCCTCCTTCTGTCTTGGGAGTAGGACGTTTGTGTATTGAAGGTTTGTTCTGTCTTAACTTTTCCATTTGCCTTTTACTCCTTCATGGATAGCTAGCAAGGCTTGTTGTCATAAAGTACACGAACCGTCTGATCCAACCACATGTTCGTTTGGGTCATGGAATTATCATATTTCCTGCTCCATTTTGATATGGGAGACTCTGCCCTTTTTCCTGATAAGTCATTTCTTCTGACTTTCCTGCTCGGCCAAACGTAGAAATATAACCAGGGAGTTGCCGTCCAAAGTGATGGTGTGGTTGGGGCAGAGTAGGGGTAAGATTCAAGAGCTCAGATGTGTCTGGTGATAGGGTATAAAATTTGTCAGTCTGGCCACAGACTGTACATGGTTACTTATTTGTAGACGCAGGTAGAAAACCAAATCCCAATCCCATCTCTTACCCAAGGCTCCTAGTAAATTCAGTCAGCGATACACGCTTACTTATTTGTAGACCCAGGTAGAAAACCAAATCCCATCTCTCTTACCCAAGGCTCCTTGTAAATTCAGTCAAGCGTGAGAACCAGCGGAGAGATGATCAAGTTGCCAGCCCATCACTGTTTCAGATCTGTTTCGGGTGGTTTTCTCAGGCACCATCCAGATGCGCTATGGTTCTTGACTGACCTCCGACCCACAGGACTTCTTTAGTGATGCAGAAGTAACACAAGGAGTGTGACCATGAGATCTTGGAGTTTGCTCAGTTTGTCTTGCCCACAAATTAGTAAAGCAAGTATTCAGTAACATGGATATGATTCTGTGATGAAGACCTCTAATAGCGTATTTGACTCCACAGTATTGGTAAGGTTATAAGAACTAAAAAGCAGATATTTAGATTGCAAATAACGCCAATCCAAATAAATAAGAGTAGGTGTAGGAAACTTGACAGAAAAATGCCTGTGGTTTATTTTTTTAGTGTGTGGTGGCATCAGGAGCTTTTGGACGATCTCTGTTTTTAAGAGGAAGATAATCGGTGGAGGAAGACGTATTTAGCTTCTCTGAGAAAAACACCAAAAGACAGTATAGTGCATGAGTCTTTAGTCCTCAATAAATACGGTGTTGATACGCAGAGAAAGAAGGGGCTACGCAGAGAAAGTGTTGTTTTTACACATTTAACAGCTCAGCTGAACTACTCAATTTAAGTCTTCTCCACGAAGCAAAGAGATCTTCACACTGGAGGTGTTCGTAGTGGAGTTACCAGAAGTGATAAGAGTCTCATTAGCTGGGGCGCCTGGGTGGCTCAGTC